GCTGTGTTTTTGCACATAGTGTCGCCGGTGCTTCTGCCTGAATTGTATCGCTTCGCTGCCTGTCACCGGACCCTCCTCAAGGGGGCCATCTGCTTCCGGAACTCAATTCTCAGGAACATTTCAGCGGCACAAATGAAATGACCGGTGAGCTGTGCTAGGACGCGATCGGAGCACCGATATTTCAGTTATTTTTGGAGAAATGAATGGTGTTCAAGGAAGAATGGCAGCAGTGGAAGAAGCTCATTACGATACCCCCTGGGAATTCCTGCACCGCACTTCTTCATTCCCTTCACGGTAACACTCATTTATTACATCACCAACAATAGTACTATCGAAAAAACGGGCTAAAAAACGTATTTGTCGCGAATTATGTGAATCAGTGGTAGCGCATTTATCGCTGTGCATGCGAATTCGTGCAAAAAATATTTGTTTGATATTTATAGATGCTGAGATACTTATCGGGCTTAAACAGAGTTATAGACGCTATTCCAAGCTTCTATTATGTCTTGCTTATTTAAATCTGCTTTTTCCAACATGACAAGTATGAGATTGTACGGACGATTCCCACAGCTACTCGCATTCAATGCTCTGTCTGTGTTTACAGCTACGAGATACAAACTTACCTAATCCTTTCGAACATGTAATTTCCAAACAAGCGCACTAAATATTCCTGTGGAAAGTGATAGCAAGTGGAGTATTATTATGTATGCAAATGCGTGAGTTATACAAAACGTAGCGCCGCTATATTCAGTTTCTTAGAAAAATTCGTTTTGATGGCAAATCGATACTAGCACATGTCAGGAAGGCAAAATCTTCATCTGCTTGCTAGTATCATAACCTGAAATTAAAACCCCCTCCGTATTCGTTTTCCCGCGTAACACGAGTGGTAGCATGTGTCAAGAGCAACCAATTGTTGACAAAGCTGTCGATGGCTACCTCTTTCTCGATTGCTTAGAAAACAAGTTGATGGCAGGTTTAACTCCCTGGCGTTTTGCTAGTACCAATTTACCATCGAAACGAATGATCGAATCGAAAAGCGATTGATGTTAATATGAAAAGAGTAGATAGCGTAAACTAGCGAAGAAATTCGAGCGTAGTGTCACCATACTGGCCAGATGTCGGCTTTCATTCTCGTTCTTTCGAGTTTCGCATAAAATCCTGAACCGCTTCATATTTTACCTGCTTTGCTGTGTGAATTAGTTGTTTGTTTGTAGGGAGCGGCCGCATTCCGATTCATCTGAATTACTGGTTCCGAAGGGAATCGAGCGTGGTTTGCGTTGTGGTCCGCCGGACGAGCCATCGAGTGTCCCGTCCTCATCCTGTCAATCACAGAATGTCCAGCACAGCAACGTTGCAGTCAGGCAGGTTCGTTCAACCCATCACTCATTCCCTCACCCACAAAGGGTGGAGGAGATACACCAGAAATTGTAATAAGGGCTGGAAGTCCGCATCGGGGATTTGCGCGATATTTGCGAAAAATTATCCTAAACATGTGATGGATGAATGCGCCAGTACGTGGAAAAACAGCTGTACTTTGTTAGGACCATTTTTCTACTCATCCAGGCGTGTAAAGGAGTTAAAATTCTGGTTTTTCCCTTGAAAAGCAAGCAAAAACATGAAACAAAAAAATGACACACATACATCGAACAGGCGATAACTGCTAAATGAAAAATATGCATCCTAGGATCGAAGAGCCTGGCATAACTGTGCGAGTAACATCACTAAAAACATGGATCCTCACACCGATTGTCCGGGCAGTCTTAGTGCAAAATTCAGTAAGGTATTTTTAGTCCCGATGAGTTGCTTTTAGCTGCACAATTATCTTTTCCAGGAATTTCATTATGTTTCGGATCATTAGAATAACAGTACTCAGTGGCCGCGGTTTTTTTTTAAGTTTGCGAGTAAATTTTTGGAAATTTTTGCAGATGATCGCAAGATTCTCACTTCGGTGCCGTAGCTATGCGTAGAGTGTGAGGAGATCAGAGCTTCATCTCAATGGCCCGGACGACCCTAGTAGTAGTGGTGTCTTTTTTTCACCGGACCGAAATCTCCTGCTTTTCTGGTTCGACTTTATGTATAATTTTACAGAGAGTGATACCTGTGCAAATCTCAGAAACAGATTCACGACGAGCTTCAAGCACCGAGTTGGAACGTGGCCGTTTCAAATTCAGCATTAGTAAATTACGAGGTAACGCTCCTTCTCATAAATCAGCTCTGTTCAGGAAAAAATTCGCCTATGTGTCTACTGTAGTACTCGGAGATAAGCTGTGCGCAAAGCTAAGACTGCGGCGTAAAATCTTCAAGCAAGACTACAGCAGACTCGTTCATTCCGTAGCGCAAGAAGCATTTAAGACGAGAAACATTCCGCTTCCCACTGCTCCATTCAAAATCACCCCCCTTCGCGTTTGTTGCCCCGATTGCTCAGGGTGTTCCAAAATTTTAGTTTTCAAGCCACAGTAACCATTGCATCATGGGAACTGGGCTGAAAAATGAATTTGCCTCAAATTTGGGTTATTAAGCCGATGATGTTCAGCGATCATCGCTTCTCTGGACAGCATGCATGCAACAACAAATTGTTTTAACCGCTACTGACCACTCTCTTTTTCTCAGCATCATCACAGCAGCTGTTCTTTTGCTGAACAATGACACTCTAAGGGACATTGTCGGCCGGTGTTGGGAAGTTTGCCAATTAAATCAAACCAGACAGAGACCGCTCGGAACGTGACGGACCGCACAAAATTTGCTACACTTCTGTTATCGCCCGAGAAATCAACGTGCAGCTGGCCCTCAGTAACTGCTTATAATTGTGTTTATTGCTTCACTTTCTTAGAGCGTTCCAAAATTTCACTTCAATCCACGGGATCCGAATGCACACTGCGCTGAAACATTCAATTACCTCAAACTTGAGTACCTACAAGAGGGTCCGGGAATTGAGTCAGTGATCCCTGATATTCGCCGCTGAATTAACTCACAGAAAATAAAGTCGATGGATGATTAGATGTGGTCAGTGGAGGACTAGAACTAATTAGGAAACGCTAAATTATGCCAAAAAAAACCCAAAAAAATTGGTCTCGTAAAGAGTGTGTTTTACGAATGTTACCAAAAGAAACAGGGTTTTCCTTCCTCTTAGCTGAAAAGAGCGAGTCTGAGTGACTCGGGAAAGCAGTCTTTCGAGGATTGAACTGGATAAGTCTTAGAGCGCGCAAATGGACGCGATTCGCGACGTGTTCGTTACCGCGAAGATGAAATAATCCACAAAGGCATCGATCGCGAGATTGCTGAACGACAGCTCTCCGCATACGACACCGGGGCATTCCTGATTCGGGTCCGTGACAATGGCACACTGGCTTTGTCGATACGTGCCAGCAAAGGCGTGCTGCACATCAAACTTGAGGTTCGTTAAAATAACTTACAAATCTCTTCAGATCAAAACCAAATCAAAACCTCTCCGCATTCCACTGTCTTCGGGAGGCGGAGGAGTTCGGAAGTAGTTCAAGAGGTAGCATGTGCCAACAGCGACCACTCGCTGGCTTTCACTTCCGAGAGTAGAAGCAGTCTAATAATGGTTTTATGTTCTTGTTATGTGCCATTACCAATTTGCCATCGAAACGAACGAGCAATTCATAAAGAGATTGGTTGTCGCCTTCCAGATCATTTTTTCTCTTAGTACAGTTATTTTACTGGAGAAATGAAACAAAAAGCGATACAGTACTCTTTAGATAAAAAACAGGTTCAAATTACGATGCGGTGTCTATTTTTTTACTTATTTAATGACTAATAAACCGATTCGAAATTTCTTCATTTCTGCGACAATTTGCGGAGCAGAGCGAGTTCCGAGAGGTTAAACTCGTTCTGTTTCATTTCTCAGTGCGAGCACATGATGTTGGGATTGTCACCGAAATTAACTGAATGAATGAATCATAAAAATGAGGTTTTTTTGGATCAACAGTATTTGCGAGGAGCGTTTCGAGGATGAAGGATAAACTGATAAGAGACCTCTTACTGTAAACAAGGTACTTACCGAATAAAATTGTGCCTAGGAAAAAAAAACTTTCCGTTCTTTGTGTTTCAGTCTTTCTGAGAAATGGAGGTGCTTTTAGTTAGCCCAAGAGCTATTGATATCTTGTTCTGAGGGTTGCTTATAAGTAGGCTTGTGGAAGTTTAACTTCTTGGTAACAAACTAATCAAGATATATTGTAGAGAAATAGGTTTTGTTGCTATGGAATTGAATCATCAACTTCGCTCTGCGAATAATGCTAATTGCCAGTACATCAAGCCCAAAGCTAGCCACCCTAATCATAAATTTCCTACGTATTTCCCGCGATGTTAAGACACATCCAATAAATCCTTTGCTTTTAGAAAAATCCATTGCCTGAAATGCAGTTGTATCATGACTTAGCGTAGGCCATTTCCCTGGATTATCAAGATCGCTTGGTCAGTTAGTGCTGGGATCCAATGTTAGTAATATTACTGAGATGCACCAGTATCTCTGTCCGCAGCTTATGCTATACAAGCTACTTACTAAACGAAGTGTTTTATCTGCATGCGGTATTGAAATCAATGAAAATTCCAGCTTCGAAACAACTGTTGGGTGCTCGGTGAGGGGCCATCGTTCGGCTCGATCGCCAGTATCATCAATTTCTATCGATTCCATGAGCTGCCGATTCGTGGTGCGGAACGCATGCTGCTCAGTAAGCCGGTTCTTGTTAGCAGTGCTCAACCACAGCATACTACACAGCCGTATCGGTGATTCTGCCAAAACATTTCGCAGTTTCCGCTTGTTTCTGTCAGCCTAATTCCCCGTCATAGTGACTAGGCTTTTGACAGTGCGAAAACCAATCTCTCTATGAGTTGTTCATTCGTTTCAGCTGGCGTGTGCCAGGGAGTCAAAACTGCCATCAGCTTATCGAACGCAAAAACCACCGATAGCTTGCCCAAAGTGTGGTTATTATTTAGAGGCTGTTACGCTATTTAGGCTACTTTCAAATGCTCAGCCTTCCAAGCAGACTAAGTTGATTGGCACTGAGTGAATGTAGTTTCTGACGATTAGCTGACGACATCTGAGGAATATGAGGAGAGGTCGAGAAATTCTGAGGTCACAGAAACCTGGATGTTTAGTCGCCTGGTTTTTCTATTTTGTAAATTTTTATTTATCTCTCAGTTTGACTGTAAGAGGCTAATTTTGACATACTGAAAAGTCTCCAAGCTGTTGCAATCGTTTTTGCTACACCACCTGATGGTGGTTGGTTTGCTAGTGATCCTGGTGTCCTTTGGGTTTTCGATCGGTTTTTTTTTTCCCTTTTATTTCGGGATAAAAAGATACGATGATCCTTTTCGGATAGTATGGTCTGCGAAAAAATGGCATCTTCCATGGCACAAGGCTTGTCAAGGTCGGTGAATCTCAAAACAAGCACTACACAGTACTAGCCGTGTGGTCCTAGTGCACGTACGGGCCAGTACACCAAAAAACCATAGTTATCTCCGAATACCGTTTACCCTTGAAACGTTGCTTAGATGCAAGTTTCTGACGATTTTCCGTCCCATTTGCGCCAGTAACGTTTTGTCAATAAAAAGAAAGTGTCATTTTCTGAATTACTGTGTTCCGTGTGACATTACTGTGCCCTGTGTATATTATTATTGTAATAATAATATCGCTGCCATTTTTTATGTATTTTTGCTTATACGCAAATTGCAAAAACGCATATTGTGACGACCCATGGTTTTTCGTTGTGTTTGCTGGAATCATAGCTTTCAATGCGCGGCTGCTTTGGCATGTTGCTGTGACCCTTGTTGAATAATAATCGCAAGCAATAAAATATTTTACTACATCAGCGAAAGCAACTTCATTCACTGTCAAATGGTTCTAGCAGAAATAGGTTTGGTTGGAGCTTTCACTCATTCATTTTTCCTCCTCGCTTCCTTCTCTCCTTCGTAACTTGTGAGGATATTTCCAGCCTTGTAACAAGTACAGGTAAAGGTGTAAGGACAAAAGATGAACAGAAGGGTTAGAGGATGATTCAGGATAGAACATATTTGTGGCATCTGGATTATTTGCATTTTATGGTTTGATTTTTCAACTATGCAGAAATTGGCAATTTTTCCAATTACTCTGACCAGTGTTGATGGCCAGTTTCGTTCGTTGTGTTTTTTACCATGATTTTCTCGACAAAAGCGCCTTGAGGAGTGCTCCTTTTGAGGCAAAAAATATTGAAAAAAAAAAAAATAATCCCAGAAATATCTTCATACATGCGACAACCTAGCATGTGCATCATATTTCTATTGTCATTTCTAGAATAATTTCGTTTTTCCCGAAACATTGCATATAACATTCCATGGCTGTTAGCAGTGTTAAAAAGAAGGTTACTAACGCAATGGAAAGATCCGCCTGAACGGCTGTATGGAATTATGTGGATGAGAGAGGCCCAAGACAGGAAAAAATGGAAAATCTGCTAACTGTTGAATTCGTGACAAAGAAAAAAGCGGCGATGAAACAACAGCTGATTTAAGTAACAAAGCAAGTTGTGCAGCTAAGGTAACTTATGCTTCGCCCTTTATACTTCGCTTTTTCTTCGTTTTCTTCCCTTCATCTTTTCTACCTCATTATTTTTTCTTTATCCTTTAATACAAAAATTATTAAAGCAAGTTATTAAGCAAGTTATTGAAGTACCAAAGTAAGTTATCGAAGTATTAAATTATCAAAATAAGTTTCATGCATCTCTTTTTTCAAGGCAAAACTTCAAGTCCAGAAGTCTGATCGGAGTTGCTTATCTTGCCTGCTGAACAATTATTCCCGTCCATGACACCACGGGTAAGATAGCAGCTAACTGAATTACATAACTTTGGTTACCGAAGACATCTCTGTTTACGCAAAGACAAGCGGTAGGAAAAGAAAAGGAAGGAGGGGAAAGCGAGGGGTGCAAGCTGTAACGATCGCCAACAAAACTCA